TTGAAGCACTCTTCTGTTCCCCCCCCCCCTCTCGACTTTTTTCCCACTTTGATGTTCCTTCCCCTATGTGAAGACTGAAGTCAACTAAAGGGCTAATGATAACCATCAAGACGCCTGCCATTTGATATAAATAAATTTCTATTACTTATTGTATGAGTTAACATAATAGAGGTATTNTTTATTTATATCAAATGGCAGGCGTCTTGATGGTTATCATTAGCCCTTTAGTTGACTTCAGTCTTCACATAGGGGAAGGAACATCAAAGTGGGAAAAAAGTCGAGAGGGGGGGGGGGAACAGAAGAGTGCTTCAAAGACGAAGGTAGAAAAAGGTGAGGTGAGTACTGTGGAAGTAGTCGAATATGACAAACAATGGGGTGAGGGTAGTTTGAAGTGAGAAGTCAACTGCCAGTTAATAGACTTTTTTGCCGTATGAATATACGTTGCCCAGGGTGCACCACGTGGAGGTAAGTCTATCGCACACCCCAGTAATAGAAATAATGAAATTAACTTTACATCAGCGAAAAATATCCCATCATGTGAATATTCTCGAACAATCGCGTAATTCAAGTTCTACTGAAGTATAAAAGTAGCAGTCATTAACCAAATAGAGAAGTGAACCAATAGGGTAACCGAAACCATGTAATTTTTTAAGAAAGGATTAGACAATAAGACAAAATGAGGAAAGTTTGCACGAATACCAACAATATTACATTTTACAATGTTGTTGAGTTTTCGATTACAATAAGGTAAACACAAATGGAACATTCTACAACTTTCAGATCTGGAGAAATAATTCAGTAATAAGTATGAACCTAGACATTACCAACTATAGCAAGGAGGTTTAACAATAATGGCAACATTGCTTAAATATTGCCCGAATAATGGGGAACAGGTGAGGCTCATTTTCTGAGACCGGAAAGCTAATTCGAATGCACATTAAATTTTTGCTTATATGTATAAATAAATATGAGACAGAGGGCAATTGGTGATGTTTAAAAATAAATATATTAATAATAGCTGACGTGAGTTAAACATGGACCTATAAGTTGGAATTTTTTTGCCACATTGGTGACTTCAACGTGAACTACAAAAGGACATAACACGCGTGAAATATAAAATCAATCAAACGTCGCTCGATATTCTTATCGCTATTGCCAACCATAAGACACCAACAATTCCCAAGAAATTAAGTTGTCCCTAATCTTATGCCAATATGGAAGAACAGTAAATGGAAGTGTAAAACTCATTTGTTTTGACATTTTTAAGAGTAGTGACCAGATTCCTCAATATTTAAGATAATGATGTTGATTAGAAGGGTGGGATGCTTTTCTTCCCTCCATGATTCCATCAGCTGTGAATGCACCAACTTGTATTAGCTGCTGAACCAGTTTGAGTAAATGTGATGCCGCTCTAGAGCTACTCCCAATTAGGCAGCTAGCTATTTGTTTGTTCTAATCAAAAACAGTATCCCGGGGGTGCAACAGAAATTTAGACTTTGTTGTAATCATGGCCCCTCGTCTTGAAATGGGCTTTAAATAATGGTAATTGATTGAAAGCCTAGGACTTACCTTCACGTGGTGCACCCTGGGCAACGTATACTCATGTGGCAAAAAAGTCGATTAACCGGCAGTTGACTTCTGACTTCAAACTACCATCAACCCACTGTATGTCATATTCGACTACTTCCACAGTACCACCTTACCTTATTTTCTACCTCCGTCTTTGAAACACTTCTGTCCCCCCCCCCTCTCGACTTTCTTTCACTTTGATGCTCCTTCCCCTCTGTGAAGCCTAAATTCAACTAAAGGGCTAATGATAACCATCAAAGCGCCTTCCATTTGATATAAATAAATGTTTGGAATTTATCAAAAATGTAGGATAAGCCTTGTTGCAACCGTCAAACAGCCCAAGAACTTCATCTTACAATAATTAATTTCAACTTACTTCATAAATCCGAGGTGTGCGATAGACTAACCTCCACGTGGTGCACCCCGGGCAACGTATACCCATACGGCAAAAACGTCTATTAACTGGCAGTTGACTTCTCACTTCAAACTACCAGAACACCCCACTGTATGTCATATTCGACTACTTCCACAGTACTCACCTCACCTTTTTCCAACCTTTGTGTCTGTCGCTTTTACATCTTTGAATCACTCTTCTGTTCCCCCCCCCCCCAGCATCTCGAATTTTTTTCACTTTGATGTTCGTTCACCTCTGTGAAGCCTGAAGTCAACTTAAGGGCTAATGATAACCATCAAAGCGCCTGCCATTTGATATAAATAACTTCATAAACCCTCAGAGATTATAGGTGTGAGAGCAGTGACTTAAAATCTCAAGAAAATAAAACTCAAGGCGAATAAAGACAAAGATCGTACAGATATATTAGTAAGTAGTAAAACAAAATACAACTTTTGGATGACAGCCAATCACAGCTTGGATGCTAATTTGAATTGATAGCGTCGATTGACGAACCACAGCCTCACGCTTTCTCTTCCATAACCCAACGATTCTGCCAGTCTAGTTAATTCCTGTCCTAGTAAAATGAAATAAAAAATAATTTATTAATTATTTTAAATGCATCATCTGGTACCATCTAGCAGCTTTCGATTCCGGGTGACATCCAAATGACCTAAGTACACACAATTCATACATAACTAAAGATCTTTCTCCGTATCCTGATCTCCCCCGCGCTCCCCATTAAACTCTTATCAATACTGCTACATCGAAAGGCAAAGTGAATTTGAATTATTGCCAAACTTGCGCATGAAAAGTTAACCGTACGCAGTCTGCAACATTTGATATTCAAAAGCAAAACCTAGAAGTTTCATGGGTTCAGCTAAAGTCTTAAACTCTCTGCTTGTACATTAGCAGTAAACCGACCAACGTGTCAATTCATCAGGTCAGATGCTCATTAGTACAGTGAGAATGAAATAGCCACCGAGGTGGTTAAATCTGGCTAATGACGGCATTTCTGAAATACGAATTTCTCAAAACAGGGCGTTGTTAAGTGGGAGTTATAATTTTTAAATAAAAAAGGGAAATGAATTAACTTAAATACCTTAATAATCCAACAGGAAAAAGATAAGCTAAAACGATACCAATACCATTCTTGATACATTACATTTATGAATCTTTATTCTCTACCTTGAGAGACATCCTACCCGAGAATAAACAGTTATGTGAGCCACCAAGCCCATGCAGTTGTTGCGCATTCGAACGTAGAAGAAGTCAGCGAGGCCAACAAATATTCCGGAAAAGACAGTGTGAACCAATAAAAATAATAGACATGAGATATTTTGTTAATTCATTTATTTCAAATGACAGGCGCTTTGATAGTTATTATTAGCCCTTTAGCTCACTTCGGGATTCACAGAGAGGAGGAACATCAAAGTGACAAAAAGTCGAGAGGGGGGGGACAGAATAATGATTCACAGATATGAAAGAGACAGGCAGACACAAAGGCCGAGCAAAAATAAGACAAGTACCGTGGAAGGGGTCGAATATGACATACAGTCGGGTCATTGTAGTTTGAAGTCAGAAGTCAACTGCCGGTCAATAGACTTTTTTTGCGTATGAGTATACGTTGGAGGTAAGTCTATCGCACACCCCGGAAATGATCTATAACTTGATATAAACCCCGCGATCCATTAGAGGATAGTGAACACTATCATTTTCTCTTATCCTTTTGTACTTTTAATGACTCTCATTCCATGCTACATAACAAGATACTTTTAAAAAGGAATTATTGTAACCCAAGTTTCTTACGAATCATGCAATCATATTATTCACCCAATTTAGCTCACTATCCTGTCTTGTGGTGAAAAACATGAACAAAGCTTCAAGCAAATCATAGGTTTAATTGAGAGTAAGCGCATCAATAATCCCTACCTCGAGGCCAGGGATTGAGTGCATAATGCTCCACCATTCGGGCAACCGCAGCTTCAGTGAAGTAGACGCGTTTCTTGCGATTACGACGCTTTGGAAGTTGGATACTTTCATCCTCATTCTCTTCCCCTTCCTCCACATCATCATAATTACAACACAAAGTCTCTTTATTTACACTAATGGGGGGTGATATTCTTTCCCGTAAGTCTAGAAGTTCCGTCATGAGGCGATCAGCTGTATTGGTCACCATGGGGGACGATGATACCGGATGATGAGGAATAAAGTTTTCGATAGCGTCCGAATCCTGAACTCGGCATAAAGCCTCTTCTTGTGCTTTCTCCTGCTCATCGAAACGATTCAACCACTTCTCTAGGTAGGGATTTGCGCGTAATGCAACACGCAAAGTAACCTCAAGGTTCTCAAATCTAAATTTGAGCACAAAGATAAGGACTAAAGGGTTATATAGAAGGGAAGGACTCTATACGAATAGGACTTCCGTTTGTGATTTTAATCTGTCAATCGTAGAACTCTGAATGTTATTTGGACGCCTGTTCAAGTGTCAGTGCATTCGTACACTTCATCCAAAATGAACCGAAATTCCACACCTAGATTAGGATATTTTAAACTACCAGTGAAGTAACCTTCTCTGTAACTATTAGATAAGAATTTTTATTGATAAAATTACAACTTGGACATAAATTTTCGTAATAGGACCTGAGTAATTCCGATGGAGATTCATAAGAACCTCATGCAGATGACACGTTTCTTGGTATTAAAACGTTAATCACAAAGCCCGGAATAGCAACGCCCACACCTAAGCTTTTTTCCTTTTCACCAAACGGAAGTTTGGGATTATCACATTTTAAGCAAATATATAAAGGCGACAAAAACGAGAAAAGACGCACCTACACAAAAATGTCTGGCTGAATCTTAGTTCCTCATTCGAACTTCGACAGATCAATTCACTCAACTTCGCTTGAGAAAGACTTTTTCTAATACGATAATTCTTTAGTCTTCCAGCAGTCTCAACCAGTTTTGAGATGTTGTATTCACCAACAATGATATCATTGTTGGCGTCTAGAACACATAAAGGGCTAGACAAGATGTCTTTCACTGAAAGATAACAAAAAAGTTATGAATGCGTATGGTCATAAAACCAGCAAAAATGCACAAAAAACCGACCCTTCTGTTTTAAAAGCTTTTGATCATCATCAGAGGCATTAGATAACTCTGGGGAATTCGAGATATCTGGTAATTCTGATGGATCAACAGAGGGAGAGACTTGCGTTTCTTCATTCACAGGAGAACTTGACGAGGGTGGAGGAGCAACATGTCTTAAAACGATGTTCTCGTTTTCGCGTTCGTAAATAAAATTTGCAAGGATCAAATGACCTGCGAAATTGGGAAATAAATTAAGAGCAAAATTGGTGGGTGGATATAGATAACAGGGACAAGTAAAGCATACCAGAGGCTTCTAAATAGAAGGGAATCTTGTCTGAACCCAGAAGGTTTATTGTGCTTATAGGAAGTTCGATAAGAACTGAGGAAGAGTTTTGAGAAATAGCAGAAGGTGCAGTGGAATAATCAGCAAAAATAGACAGGTCAAGAGCTGATTCGTCTATATGTGCAGGAAATTCTCCCATACGGCCCTGTTAAAAAGGAAAATGCCAATTTCTTGAAACTGTTTCGATAATTGGCCAAGCAATAAATATATACGGCGATTAATTGACACTAATTCATATGAATAAGAGGATTAATAGGACAAGAAATACAGACCCACAACCATTGGAATACAATTCAACGCCGTCCTAAAAGCAGCCAATAATATTCCAATCATTTTTTTAAAATTTAAGTTAAATAACTATGTGACTTCTTGTTATAAAATATCATTATTCTATTAAGTGCTATTCTTTTATAAAAAATAGTATGTTAAACATTGCATGAAATAAGAATTCTAAGAAATACTTGAATTTGGCCTATTTAATAGCCTCACTGAATTAAGTAAGTAAATTAAAAGAAAATTTCGGAGCAAGCTAAAGTTTAGTATTCTCCCCACCGGCTGCTTCCAATAGTTCAGTTCAAGTTCAGAAAATTGTAAAAATTAAGCATTCACAAGCGTAACTATACTAAACCAATATACTACATTCTCAATACAGTAGAATTAAACATCTTCGTTAAATTACAATTCCCTAAAGTGAAAAAGTGAAATCTCATATAAGGACGAATAGTCTTGTAGTTTATTCCTATCGACTAGAGGTTGGACTGTATCAGCGCTTATACTGAATACTCTTAATCTAATTGGTTATCAAAATTTAACTGCTGTCACTTTTAGGTATATTGTTTTTTTCTGTAAATCAGTAATAGATCTTGTCATTAAATGATAATTTTTGTGCCTGTTCGGTATTATTATCTTGAAACCTCTATATTCCTATCTCTGATAATTTTTTAAATGCCATCTATTAACTCACATTAACAATTAGTTACATATTATAATTTAGCTACTATTTGTTCTATTTTGTATTAATACTATATTTGGATATTTACTTTTACTTGGAGTGTCATGGATGTGGATTCGATTGATATTGACGAACAGTTGGCAATTTTAGAGGAGATTGAAGGTAACATATTCCTACGCTAATAATAACATTTTTAGTGAAACAAAATGCCAACAGAATGTCCCAAATTGTTTGTGAAAGTGATGAATATCATTTAAAACATGCTAGAAAGCATCTAATTGATCTTGACTCACCAGAGGAAGGGCCATCAACCAGCCAGCCTCCTAAAAGACGAAAAACTATTCCAGTTATCCCTACTTCACCAACTCTCAAACGTTCAGAGCGTTTTCTTCACAACAGAATACCAAGTTCTGGAGATTATGTCCCTATTACATTTTCAGATGGGCGACGTCGCTATCTCAGCGTTGAGTCAGGTTCAAACTCAACAGGTATATCTGTCACTCTGAAACAACACAAACGTCTTCTACCTGAAGATCTCTGTAATCTTATCAATGAAGCAGAACAACTTGTAAGATCGAAGTATTGCACTTAGTTATGATTATGGTACTAGGGTAAATCTCAGCGAACCATGGATAGTGCAGAGGGCCTTAACTTTTCTACTCAAATTGAGAGTCAACTATGGGTGAAGAAGTACGAACCCGCCTGTTACTTGGATTTAATATCCGCTGAACACGTTAATCGGAAACTTTTGAGTTGGCTTAAAGCCTGGGATCTTAGCGTGTTTGGGGTAGAGTCCAAGGTGGTTCAATCGCGTGCTTGGCAGTCTGGGGATGCCACAAATGAAGGTGATCAAAAGCCTAAACAGCAACATTATCAACAGAGATCGGAAGAGGAGATTATGATCGCTCAGATGGACCCCAAAGATGGTCGTAGACCAAATTATCGTATTGTCCTGATTTCTGGCCCTCCAGGGTTAGGAAAAACCACGATGGCACATTTGCTTTCTCGTCATGCTGGGTATCAAGTTGTTGAGACAAACGCAAGGTTAGTCGAAATAAGTTATACTCTTTAATAAGGAGTGATACAATAAATTAGATTTTATGCTTTATGATCCTGGCCTTCGTTGTGGGATATAATTTGTGTGTGTGTGTTATACAGATTGAACGATTATAGTTTCTTGTGTGAATATTTGAGTCTTTTTCTGATCCTTGCTTGAATGGAATGCTTGATAGTAGATTTTCGTTAAGTTGCCTCTTGATGTATTCTTTTGCCATTGCGTCTATTCGATGTTTCCACATAATTTTCCTCGTTTGCGCTTAGCAACCAATTGTCCTATTCCACATGCTCTTTTTTCTTGTTAGCCTTTGCTCTTTTTCACTTACTCTCTTATTGCTTGCAAACACGTTTTTTCTCTAAACTGGAAATCTCCCATTTACATCCCAAACACAAGGGTTATGTGAATCTTGCCTGCTCTATTTTTCTCTATCCTCCGAGTTGTGGTAAGATGGCTTTTCTTTATCCATTTCAATGATTTCAGTAGAATTCCGAGTTTGAATATTGGATTAAAAGTCCCGCCATCTCTCCTGTTTTTGTTATTTGCCCTGGACTTCCCCATAGTAACTTTTCTCTCCTTAAATTGAGGTACACCGTGCCCCTTGTGTTATGATCCAAAACCGGCCCATGGATTCCCCCTAGAAATTACCCTAGTTACAAGTACAATCTGACTGTGTCCCAGTACGAAACGACCCGAAGCACAATGCCTAAATACGGCGTATGTTTTAACTTCGATGGGCCGAATTATATTATGCGCAATTCGTTCAAATGCATGGTGAAAAATAAATAATCTTAAATATAATAATTAATTAATTAATTGGAGGACCAAGGGAGATATGACTTCCATCCATGTAGCACTTATAATCACTTTTGGAAGTTCAAGTCGCGATGGATTTGCTACACCATCGTCGGTAATTGAGAAGACAACAAACATGAGCTTCACTAAAGGACTTTTTTATTAACCTCCAGAACTAATTGTAGATGGAGCTATTTTTAAACCCAATTAAGCAATATTTATCTATTTCCTGGGATGGGTTAAATTGTACAACTGTCTATCATGGCGAAATACCAAATAAATAGGAGCGAAATGATCCACTTTTAAGAGGGTGTATGCTAATTTTAATGAGAGTGGTTATAATAAGAAGTGAAAATGAGGGAACCATCAGAGATCTACAATTACCAAGTCAACTGCTTTTTCAAATATGCTGTAGCAAGTAATTAACTTTCGGGGTCCAAATTTCAGAATAGGTCCCTGAGATTAATGGCACAGAGAGCGCTTGTTTACCCAATTGAACATTGTTCATTTCTCTCTTCATTTTGTTGTATTCATATCTATGCATTGAGAGATGATTGACCTTAGCTTACATTGACCGGTTGATCATTGCACTCTCTTATCAGATGTAAGTCATCGTGGGTCCCTGATAGGCCAGTGTCGGGGAAATCCCCCGAAAAGCTTGATTACCAGCGTATATCGCCACTTTCAGAATCAGTTGTATTTGCTCCTTCCTATTCTAGCGATGATCGCACTCCCAGCGCAATGCGCGAACGCTTAGAAGCAGTGGTATCGAGTCAAGCGAGTTTGAATGCCAACGTGGGCGGAGATGCTGGGTCTGGAGCAGCACTGAAACCATCCTGCCTCATAATTGATGAAGTGGACGGTGCTCTTCCAGCTGCAGTCGAAGTTCTTGCTGAAGCTGCTGCCACTCCCCTAATTCAGGAGAGAAAACGTAGCAAAAAGAAGGCTCTTGTATTGAAACGCCCTGTCATTTGCATCTGCAATGATTTGTACGTTTAGAACACCTTTTCCTTTTACTATATATTCTTGTAGGAGCTATGTCCAAGAGGTATTAGCGTTTGAACCGCATCTTAAAATCATTGTGCCATAAGTATTTATTTATATCAAATGGCAGACGTTTTGATGGTTATTGTTAGCCCTTTAGTTGACTTCAGGCTTCACAGGGGGGAAGGAACATCAAAGTGGAAAAAAATCGAGAGGGGAGGGGGAATAGAAGTGTTTCAAAGACAAAGGTAGAAAAACGTAGAAATAAGGTAAGGCGAGTACTGTCGAATATGACATAGAGTGGGGTGAGGGTAGTTTGAAGTGAGAAGTCAACTGCCGGTTAATAGACTTTTTAGCCGTATGAGTATACGTTGTCTAGGGTGCCCCACGTGGGGTAAGTCTATCGCACACCTCTCGTTGTGTCAATGGTTAGAACAATAGATCATTCGAAAAAAATTTTGAGAAGCAAATCAATTCTTCCATTTAGGTATGCACCATCAATTCGACCGCTTCGTGCACCCGGTGCTTCGTGCTATATTTTGCGTCTGCCGCCCATTGATTCCAACCGCTTGGTTGAACGTCTTGATCAAATAGCGAGATTGGAGGACATCGTGGTCGACAAGCAATTCCTTTCAATTCTCGCAGAGACTAGTGGAAGGGATATTCGATCTTGTCTCAATGTTCTTCAGGTAATTGGCTATCAGTTCGCGTTGGTGCATATTGATTGTAAAAATGGCCATAAGTTTCGCACACATTGGATTTATCCGTGTTGCAAAAATAGCAAAATCTTTGGGAACCTAGAAATTTCGCCAAAGACTAGCCATTCTCTTCTGGCTAAATGAAACATTATTAGTTTTTTCATACTGGACTTATTATTAGTTCCAAGTGTTGCAGTAAAGGAAACGAACAAACGTGTTTACCTGGCTTATTTAAGTTTATTGAAACTTTGAACTGTCTAATTCGTAATGTTAGAGAAGAATAGAGGCGTTTTTTAAACCGACACCTTCAATACTGCTGTTAGCTAGAACGCATAGTTTGTGCGCGATGGACATTGCTAGGGCACTGTTGTTTCATACCCATAGGGAGGAGGGAGAAGTCCACAGCATGTGAGAATGAGGGTTGACTTTAAGTCCACTTGCGCTCATTTTCTTTTACACCGAGACCAAAATGTAGGCTCCGCGGCCTTGAGCTGTATTTGTCGGCGTTATGTAAGGAAGGGTCTAATGTTTCGAGTATCCTACTATGTTAGCCATCAACTCTGTCATATAATTAGAAAGTGTAATTTCGACAGAATCGGTTGGTTGTGAACAGGATGAATTGAAAATTTCCTTACCATCTTTTCTTAATATGGCCCTGTAGGCTTAGGCTAGGGTTTGATATTATTTATCAGAGCGAATTATTGCTTTTCAGGCAATAACTGTACACGATATTTTACACATTTTTGAGCGAAAGAAACTGGGAACTGAAATTGGGAAGAAGTCGGGTCGTTACGTGGCTTACCTCGAACTCGCCGCACTCTCGTGTAGGGGGGGGGGGGGGGGAGAGTTCACTTTATGACCTTCAAATGCCCTATTTAACTTCCATGACTGGGAATATATATTCACGATTTTCAGATCTTATTGATTTAGTTCCGCGGATGGTGATGTAATTTCGGCTTGTTTCTAACCTTGTCTACATTCGGTAGACAAATTGTCAGTGATGTGTAGTGCTTACACAAATTCACCCATGATGTATTCTAATGATTTTAGAAAGTATCAACAATTAATGAATAATGGTTACTAACTCTATCTATAGATCGGAGTTTGTTGATTAAATTCGTAAAGTTGTTGTCGCGATGGTAAAAAAAGAGTAATTCACTTTAGGAGGAGGGGGGGGGGGGGGTCGGGGAAGAATTAAAATGATGATGATTTTAAAGCTAAATTGCCGAAAATCCACGATTTTCGACTTGACTCAAGTTTTCTAAACTTTTGCACGAATCTCTTCTGTTTAGATGCCCTCCATGCTTAAAGGTATTACAATTTTTTGGTTGTTTATTTATGAAAAAAGGTGGAGCAGTTAACAGCATATTTACATACTTTGAAACAGTATTTGAATAATTTATTTACCCTTAATCCGATCTCTCCGAACAGTTTGCTAAGGTGACTCAAATTCATCAGAAGCGACCGCCAACAATGGCCGAGCTGATGGCTGGTTTGGAAGGCTCGATGTCCAAGGATACTCAATATAATCTCTTTTCAGCCTGGCAAGCTGTCTTTACTATTCCCGCACCTCACATTCTCACCCGTCGAATCAATCAAATTAGTAATCCACTTCGTTCTCGTGCCCAACTTCAACAAGAGCATCTCGTTTCAGACACTACTCTCAGTGCTAGGTAAGGGTCACGCCTCTCTTTCTGCTTTAAATTTCGAAGCCACGTTATTGCATCATATGTTTAATCAAACTGTTAGTAGACAATTGATGTGCCACTTAGTGAGATGTGTCGCCTTTGCTAATTTAAAGCTTATAGGTAAAAATGTGGAATGTGAAGACTTGGTCTTGAAACATCAAGCTCGCAAGGAAGATATACTTGGCATGCAATCGCTATTCTGAATTTTGTCACTGAGTGTAAACTCTCTCGAAATTGTTCTGAAATCAGCGCTGCTCTGTCGAATCTAAAATGACGAGACAATGAGCTGTCCTATGATGTATTCAGGAATATGTAGAAGAAAGGATCAGTCTTAAGCAGTTTATGAAGTCGTGTCGTGTCCATATTCCCGAAAATGTAAAATTTTCACTGTGTTATCATGCTATTCATCCTTAATCAAATGGAAAATCAGACGCATAGATTAGATTTAACTACACGGATAATGTTTTAGCAACGTGTTTATCATTTTGTAACCTTGTTAATGTTTCACTTTTGTAGAATTCAAATCACAATGGAGGTATGTGACTCAACAGGCGAGACGCCGAACCTGATTTTAGGCCTGTTCGAAAATTATTTGAACTGCAGAATGAAGGATGCCAGCATGCAAAAGGTATGTTTGAAAAAAAATGTGCATAAAATCGGTCGATGTTGCGTTGAAATCTCTCCATCCTTTATTGAACCCATCGATGCCAATCCTGAACCCCATTTCCAGTTGACTAACGATGGTTATGTTTGTTATGAATTATAAAGAAGGAGGGGGTACTAGTTTACTATCCTCAGGACTATAGGTTCTAACGTAGCCACCACCTCTTCTTACTGCTTTCGTCCCTCTCAGCACAACGAGGTGGAGAATGGATATTGCTTACCTGTTGGAGACCTATATTGGGAGCCGAGGCTGGAGTCGAGAGGGAGAGAGGGAGACTTGTGTGCCTCCTTGTCAGTTTATTTTGAAGAACAAATATTTGCTTAGTAAAACAGTTTGGGAACAAAGGAATTAGGGTAGATGTAAGAAGCCTTAGAATCGGCACTAGTCAGCCTGGATCCATCGATTGAAGGTTTGAATTGAGTCTTGACGGCAATGATATTCCCATCGTAGTATGGAGCGGTACATATGAATCGATCGATGGAATCGACTAGGGATGATTGAGTTCATTTCTATTTGGTCACAATCAGATATTTTCAAATTTTTTTATTTTCTGGCCCTCGACCTAAACGAATGTTATTAATTTGCTGAATATGAAGCAGTTCTAGGAACTTACTGTATCGAAGCCTTATTTCGAGTTATAACCATCTGATCCAACGTTTATAGTAAAGCTCGAAGATTCGATCTTCTAACTAATCATCACTAATTGTGCAATACAAGCAAGTTCGTTTTAAATAGCTCAGTGCTTAAGCCATATCGATCGACCTAAATGGTGTTATGTTAAATTGCAGTTGTAGTTGTGCTTCGACGAGTGGCAGAGCATTATCTCCAGACTTATAAAAAACTACTGGTTCCATTGTTGTCTCTTACTCTACAGGCTCGCAGTGCCTCGGATTGGTTGGTGTACTCTGACTGCCTTTTACAACACGTCCAGTCTCAACACGACTACACCTTCATGCGTTACGTTTCTCTCCTGCCAGCCTGGTTTCATCTGGCCTTCGCTAGCACAACACGTCCACTTACTGAATCTCGTTGGACTTCGGCCAATTCGTCGTCATTCTCGTCCGCTGTAATTCGTTGGCCCACTGCTTACAATGAAAATACTGTCGCTCAAAATAGAACCATCAGTACACTTGAAAGCCTTATTGAGAATCAATGGCGTTCAGGTGGCCCGTCATCTGCACTCACCACTTTAAGGTAATTAAAAAGTGATTTAATTATCTACCTATGATGGGATTGACTTGTTTATAAACTAAATTTCGCTACACCATACATTTGTATTTTTCAGGTTCTTAACTCATCGGCAATTCCTATTGGACGCGTCGAGTTATGTCAACAGACTTCTCTCTGTAATGTCAGTTCATCTTCGACCGGTGAATACACAGCTCTATAATGTCCAAGAGAGAGAACATCTTTTGCATCTCATCAGCATCATGATCTCTCTGGGTCTTGATTGGGTACCTCATCAAACATCAGACACTGGAGAACCTACCTATCGCCTTGAACCGTAAGTCACTTTTTATGCCCCTGTCATCTACCAATAATAATTTCTAGACCCCTCGATACTGTGGCACAGTTTTCGTCCTCAGTTAACAAATCCCCTGATTTGAGCAACCTCCCTTATGCTATAAAACAAATGATGGCTCGTGAATTGGCTATGGAGAGGGTACGAAGGGCCGAGGCTGCGAATGCTCCACCTGTGAGGAATGATGAAGAGGGGGCTGGTGGCATGTCTGCCGGATCACTAAGGCCAACTGCTTCGAAACCACATGTTACTGCCTATACTGATGGTAGAATGAATGTTGTGCCCACGTCAGGTTCTTTTATGGCTTCTAGGCTTGCTCCTAAGGCCGCACCATTGATGGCTGCGGCTGAAAAGAAGGTCTGTTTACCCATCCAATCAGTCATACATATTACCCTACTTCCATATTGACTAAATCTTGTTTTAATTGAGCAGGTTCGAAGAGACTTTTTTGGTAGACCGATAGTTGAGAAGGAAGTCGAGTCAAAGAGTAAGCAGCTCTTTCTTAACTGTTTCGAATGATTTCGTGGGTTTTTTGTTAAAAAGTAGTTATTTGTGTTTATTATTTCACAGAAAATCAGGAGCCTGAAGAGCACTGTCCAATTAATAAGACGGTATGGTTCAAGTTTAAGGAGGGCCACTCAAATGCTGTCAGAAGGCCATTTTTCATGAAGCGATTTCTTAAAGGAAATTAACCGTACTTTTGTATAACTTTGCAAAAAGAATAGAATAATTATTTTTTGTAATCTTTTGTACTTTGCACGGCTGTGTTTTGTGCGATACTAATAACATTGTGTTCCTTAGTAACCAGTGAACTGATACGATACATATCCTCATGCGAATATAGTATTCAAATAGATCTTTTGGAAAGTCGTGTTCCCCACTGTGATTATATTTCCTATTCTCTAAACGAGAAAAGCGTTTGTTATGAATTTATTATTGGAATCCTCAAAAGGATGGGAAAAATCTAGTTTTTGGTATCTTGCTGTCATCCTCATATACACATCATTGAGTCTCTAGGGATTTGTTACGGGTGCGTAATTTGGAACTTCAAGAGCATCTCGGGAGGTCAAAGTGCGCGGACGACTCCTACTCATCACAGTTAAATATCGATAGTCAGATATGACAAACATTTCATGAAGAATTGCTAGTAAATTTCAGCCAATAGAGAAGAGTGGCTGCTCTGACCACCTTCAAAAAGCACGTGAGTGTGTGCAACTTAACCTACTTATTCCATATAATAACGCTTATAGCTATTTTTAACTTAACTCCAAATCTCAAATTATTTTTACTCGTTTTCATCTGGTAAAAATCACATGGTTACATTTGCGCTATTATAATTTCCTCATCTTAAGAAATGAAATTTTACTGACGCCTTAGTTAATATGAATATTTAATCATTGCTTAAACACCTGGGAATTTTGAGAATACAATGAATAGTTTAATTGCTCGAAATGAGGCCAAAGCCCAAAAAATCCCTCTCAACCAATCAAATTGCTTTTCTTTATGCGACTTAGATATATTTTAGAAGATGGAAAATGCGTCATCAATATTTCAGTTTTCTGTTATTAAAATGTGACAACTATAAGTATAACTGTGCCCATTGGATTGCAGCCATAAACAAACTAGACTCAACTCAGCGAATTCAGCCCTTTCTAAGCTTCAAAAGCAAAATCCAAAGTATCAAAACTAAGTACGACTTACCTGTATTTTAAAAAGATTCGCAGTAGAAATGCATTGAATTTGTTATATTTGGCAAGCTATACTTTCTTTCGAATAACGTGCATTTCCTATCATCTTTGTATAGGTTATTTTAAAGCAAATAGTTTTGTTTGAGGGTATTTGAAACCTATTATTTTAAGACTTTCACAACCAACCAAAAACATGCATTGGCACCTAACCATTTAGCTATTGCTTAAATTTCCATTCTCGTAAATCGTTCATTGGTGGTTGAACATGAAAGTGATGTTCAAAGCATGGATATGGAAAAGAAAAACCAATACGGTACATGAAGTTTTATAACTTGAGTGCAAGATGTATTATCGCTACATGCGTTTTATTCTTAAAAATAATGTCACAAAAAAGTCTTATTCAGTTATGGTTTATTGTAAATTAAAATAATTTGAAAAATATTCGCCGCCGTCATTAACGTCAGCTTGCATTATATTTAATGACGGGGGTGTGCGATAGACTTACCTCTATGTGGTGCACCCTGGGCAACGCATACTCATACGAAAAAAATCTATAAACCGGCAGTTGACTTCTGACTTCAAACTACAATCACCCCACTGTTTGTCATATTCGACTACTTTCACATTACCCACCTCACCTTTTTTTCTACCTTTGCGTCTGTCTCGTTTGTATTATTGAAACACTCTTCTCCTCCCCCTTCTCGACTTTTTTCGCATTGATGTTCCTTCCCTCTGTGAAGCCTGAAGTCAACTAAAGGACTAATGAAAACCACCAAAACGTCTGCCATTTGATATAAATATTTAATAACGGCAAAAATAAGTATTACTACCTGAACTTTATAACTTTTCAAGATGATAAGTATATAGAGATAATACTGCTTAAAAACTTGCTAAGGTTATTTGCAGCTATCATTCCAATTTTATTAAGAACTCCATGCAACTATACACAGTAGTGATACTAGTTTGTTAGGAAGACGTGACTAAAATGAAATTTGTTTGTGCTTAAAGATTAACCATGTAAATTCCTCCAATAAAATAAAATGGAAGAAGACAATTAGAGAAACGAATTTTGGATAAGGGTTAATAGATATTCATAATTGCTATACAAATGCAGAACGTGCATAATGCATAAAATCTAATCAATTGTAATGTGTATTTTAAATACTATAATGAATAGCTAAAAAATGCAATTACATCTAGAATTATCAAGAATAATAGGTTTGAATATACTGACTTGTTTGCAATCTTCTAACAATAAGCGCGAGCTTAGAGATATACGGGTGGGTTGGTAGTGCTTTCCCTATTTACTGTGTTTTGACAGTTTGTGTGTTTATTGATTCCCTTGAATTTTCATATTAATTGAAAATAAACATTTAGCGCCTTGACACTATAAATGCATCGGATTTTATTTATATATCGAATATCATCTTTTATTTACGAATACATTCAAACAATTATTTTTTCTCTAGTGGCCTTTTTATTATCTCTCTGTGCTTTATAAAATGTCATTGGAATCTCTTCCGGTTTTGACGTTAGCGGAATGTGATCCTTCAACAAAGGGTATTTTGTATTTCTCTACTACCACATTCTTATAGCTTTTATAAAAAACAACCTTGAAAAATTTAATCGCCTGTTCGATAAATGGAATATGCAAGATTCAGACTTTGTGCTGTCCAATCGAACTGTGCATCGTTTCAAGAATCAACAACGCCACTTCATCCACTTTGAGGAGTTTTGCCATTTGAACCGCCGTTTGCGTAAGGCTTGTACTGGTCGCAGCAATTTTTGCATTAAGCATGTCATTCGCAGTTTGGACTCAATAAGCGAACATAATCAATGTGTTAGTCGAAATTGTATCGATTTTCTACTTTTGGCAGTCAAAAATTGGCACGATGAAGTCTGTGTCATTCGCTCATTAGCCACAAACTGTTGGAAACACACGGAGCGACAAATGCTGACTGGACACTTTGTAAAACTTGCAACTCTAATTCTCTGCATTCTATCTCGAGTTCTGTAAGTTCCAAAATTTAGTGAATGATTTCTAGTATTATGTCGGAAGTATCAATATCCTCAGCAGTAGAATTATACAACTCCGTTTGGGCAATCCGCGATGAGGTTCCAAGTGTTGGGATATCCGTCGATTACCTAAGCTGTCTTCCGCAAAGTATATCTTTTGAGTCAATTATTACACTCAATAAAGCATGTACAGCCTTTCTTAAACTTACGTAAGTCCACTATTTCACTTTTTTAGCACTTCTTAGTCAGGAAATTGAGCCAACAGAATCCATTTTAACGTCTTCAAAGAAAACACCTCAAACTACTTCTAAGGCATCGAATTTATTTAGTGAGGTATATCATCCGTCTTACGTTAAGTAAATCTTTCTTTTTTTAAGATAAGCCCACTTCCTAAAGCATCCAAAATGACTCCTAAAAATAAGAGCAGCACTAATGACAGACATTCTAATAATCCAACTCCTGTTGGGGTGAGTTGAGGTGGTTTTGTGTTTATTAGCTTCCTGTTTAGAATAACCCGAAGAAGGTTAATCCTCAAAAGGAGCGACAACAACTGTAAGTTTCAATTATTACTTGACATTTTAGGCTATCTTTATTACGTGATGCAAAGAATAAATCATCGAAGACGAACTTTATCGATATGTTGTTTAAATAAATTACTTTATTTTTACATCGATCCTTTCCGTCTTGCCTGGTGTTTATGTTTCAAAATTCTGCCAATGAAACTATCATGAGTTTCTTGAGATCGAATGCCTTGTATTTTGTAGTCTGTAATGGATTTCGCTGCATACGTTTTGTTTGACGAACTCTACACCAATTTTGATAACTTCTCCAGGGTTGTTCAAGCCAACGGACTCAGTGTTCGAATACTTGGATTGTATTGAGCTCGAATTTGATAATTATTTGAAAATTTAGAGTCTCAGCGTATGTGGCAGAAAAGAACATAGTGGAAATTCTCTCCCCATCCAAACGAGATGGCCTACCCTGCATTCTTGTGGATGTTTCTATGCTCTCCGAGGACTTCAAACGTGCTCTAAGTGGAGAGGCGGGTTTGGATAGATTAGTCCAATTCATAGGACGTCTCTCCCTATCTCCGGGGAACAAGAAAACATGGTGTCTTCTAGCAATGGCCTACAAATTTATGGACGGAGTGAATCTACAGTCGTATAAAGAGGTTGTGCGAATCACTCGGCCCTACGCTAAAGCTATAAACTTTTAAGTGTTGAGAATTTGTTCTTTTTAACAAGAATTATTTTTATAAGTAAGTTTTATTCCTCTTTTTGGACTGCATTAGGGAAATTCCTCTGTGTAAAGTTTTGAGAACATGTTTCTTACCTACTCACACATATAGACTGTTTTCGCTTTAAAATAAAAGTTAAGGACCTTCTTTAGATTGATTTAGTACCGTAGAGGGAGAGGCATCGTTGTATTACATAAACATTACGTGCTTTTACATATAAGGCTATAACATGGTGAAGGTGCGTATCAGAGTTTAATAATCTTAGAAAAAAACTCTTTTTTTCAAGATATATTATAAAATAACAATGTCAGAAAATGAACATATCGGGGTGGAAGATACAATGCAGCATGGAGGAGGTACTGACATGACGCAAACAAAAGGTAACAGAAAGTAAATGAAAGACAATTATGGGCCGCAAATAGAATAGAGGGATCAACCATTAAGTTCTTGGTCTTTAGTTGTAGTATGCCGAAACATACGGGGAGGCGGTGTTGTGAAGGTAGCACGCCGACGGGGAGGGATCATGAAGCGTTCACAACATTCCCCCGGGATTCCACCGTTAATGGGGTTTGTTGCCGAAGCCTTAACCAGAAGGTCTGAGGAAGAACGTCGAAATGGAACGGTTGGAGTCTCCACTGAAGAGTCTATGCACAGAATGCAAGCATAAAATATGTGATTTTAGGTTTTCAAGCCTTCCTAAATTAATTTCAAAGGCCTTTACAAATGCAAAGAGCATTAAGTTGGGTTTAGTAAAGCTTAGAATCATATCCGGTAAAAGCATTTCCAGACGATAGGTTAGTAATTATTGGGTGATAATATTAGCGGAATCACAATGGTGTGTGTCCATTGGCTTTACCTTTAGCCGATGAGGAGAATACTTCAAAAAAGAGGAAACACATTTTAGATTATTTAGTGTCCACCAATTAATGGAGAGAAGCTCTGTGATCCAATAGCAAAGCGGATGAAATCACCAATCATTTACTTCGAAAATTTTAATGCACTTTCAATTGGCTCTTATTTGGAAGAAATCCGTTGGCTATGAAAATATTTGCAAGAATCAATAAAAAAGGAATTTAGAGATGAATATGGTCGTGAGAAATCAATGCTCCTTGGTGTTAAATGGCATAATGGAGTAGATGGGTAAATTCAATGAACCCGACTAAAGCTCAAACAGTAGGATATTGTGTATTTAGTTTGTGCTAATTCGTTTGTACGAGATATGTAACGTTCTATGGATTGTAAATTGCCAAGCGAAAATGGCTTCGGGCATTTAAGCTTTCACGAATATGCAAAAAGTTACCGGGACACCATGAAGATATGAAATCAATACTTTACTCACAAAGTTGTTGATGGAACATTGCAAGATTTACACGCTCCAATCGATACACAAATGCTTTAATTGATATTTTTTCCGGAGGTTCAAGAGAATTCGGAAGCCTTATTAAGAAATTCGGATTTCAAATAGAATATTTTAAATATTTTATTTCAGGAAAAGATACCCAACATTAACCGTTTGGCGATGCACAAAAGGGAGATTAAAGTGAACAGTTATAGGCCTTCTTTTCAAGACATTGCAGAACATCAGAGCGCTAATAATTCAAAACCTTTATGACATAGATTTAGAAAAAAAACTTTGTTATGGATCTGGGTATAGCATTGAGGCTAAATCGACAAGAAAACACGGGTGCGAGAATTATTTCAGTAAATTAAAAGATAGAAGCATTTGAGTCTTGACGACACGATTTATTGAAAAAAATCAGATGGAAGTAATGCATAACTGCCTACATATGACGATACCATTCAATGAAATAGGGCATAATGAAAGAATACATTTTTAGCAACTTACCCGCTTCGTAGACGCTAGAGGGAGAGGCGAGTGAGCTGCACGAATTCGCCGGCCGAATGGTAGAGGTACTAGTAACTACCGTATTTCGACTAGAGCTTGCTGTCGTGGTGGTACAATAGCCATCATTTCTATGGCCACCACCACGGTAATATCCCATGTCATCTTCCTCATGCATATGGTCCCCACCTGAACCGCACTCGAGATTCTCTCTAGAGCTGACTTCGTTAACGATATCGGATACCTGATCAGATGTCGAACAAGCACCCTCTGTTTCATCAATGCAATCAACACAACCACCAGCACAACTTTCAGCGTTGGATAGACCGGTGAGAGGGAAGCTGCTGTCGGTTGCTTGAAGTTCGGAAAGGAGATCCATTGGTTGAGGAATCCGACGCAAATAACTTCCATGCCCTGAAGTCTTCGGCACCGAACTATAGAAGAGAAGGCATTCCGTTAGTACTACGGATAAAAGAATGCTTATTTGGGCATGATATGCAAGCATAACCAACCGAAAATTACTTAGAGGAAGGGTGATGCAATTTAGTTAATTCCGGTCAAGGATACTTTAATTTCTGCTCAGCCTGAAAAATATGAACTGCAAATTTTTCAAAAAGGCTCTTTTGAAGAGACGGACTGTGAATCCGATTTTAGCATTAACAAAATTATTTTGATATGTGACCTTTCAGTTTAAAACAATGGGACATTGGAAGTCCTCGTTTTTGTTACATCAGAGGAGTAGTGATACTTTCGTATCTGTGTGCATTCGATACTAGTCAGGGTTCAGGGGGTATTAAATTTCTCTATTACCTAGAAACAACCTTACCACCACCACCACCAGCATGCCAGACTGTTTCCATTGGATTGCAATCATATGGAATATAACACCACAAATGTAACCACACTGCACTCCTTAGAGTGGTTCTTGTGCATACTCAAAACCTGATAAAGGCAATTTAGTTCAAGTGTAGAGGAAACAAAAGCATTCTGGAATAGTTGAGAAATGTATACCCATCTATTGAAATAGATAGGAGCTAACGTGTACTGTTACCTTTGAACGTGCATAACATGTAACATCGGCTGCCAGACCATCAACGCAAATAACTCTAATATACAAAATAGTATCACCAATTTCTTATTATTTATTTGTGAAAAAAAATAATTCTTAAAACGTGTTCACTAAAAAGTACTTAGCGAGGTGACCCCCTCCCACCCAAAAAACCCCGGCATTGCAGGAAGCGTCGTAAGGTCAGAAACTTGAATTTAAGACGAATTTCAAACGCAATGCGATCGCCTAAGCGATTGAAGAGAAAACAGAAAAAAGGGAGTGGGTGGTGGCTTAGGCATATTGCAGCATTCTTGACAATACACAAATACAACTTGAAGTTTAAATCTGCGCTAGTAGCTCTTTTAAGCTAAAGTCTGATTTAATCGATATTAACATGTGCACCTTGAAACATGATTAGTGGAGAGTCATTAGGAAGTTCAAACTTGAGATCAATATTGCAACGTATTAGAAACTGCATAAGTATGACCTAGAAGACCCTTGAGAGAACTCGTCTTTTGTCTGATTCATTCATCTTGTTCCCAATGAGAGATGACATGTGTTTAAGGAGGCTCTAAGTAGAAACAAGAAAACACCCAGTTTGACTTAGAGCCCACAGGCGAGCTTAAAGTTGTTGTAAGAATTTCCCTTAATAATCATATAGGAAAACTTCGCTTCCCACTCCTCGTATACTGATAAATAAGCTTTTTTTAATTTTTTTCACTCATTCTATCACCTTCCAGTGTTCTATAAAAACAAATTCACCAGAGCACATACTTTTTTGTGCACAGAAAATCAATTTACACCAATACAGTGGCAAATCGTTTAACATTAGGGATTTGATTGAAGTGTGGATGGAGTATTGAATTTTATCAACAAAAGAGTAATTGAAGGAGCACCACTGAAAATCGACACCCATATTACCAAAAAATTATTTAGTTTTTTTTGATAAAAATAGAATACAAGAATACATTTGATATGATTTTTTAAAATTATACCCAGGCAGTTTCTTCAATCGAAGGAGAAGACCCTACAAAAGAAGCTCCAACCCACTGTTGTGTATCGTCTTCAAATTACTATGGGCAATTCACCTTTAAAAAAGTAGAACAACTTGAAGCGCCCAAAATGCATATAGTGTGTCGATAGCGAGACGCACTCAAGGACGCTTAAAAGGTCGAGTGATATTCGTATAAGCTTACTCTTCTAACAAGCTTTATTAACTAAATGTTGATTACTCTAAGCAGGTGAATTTTGAATAACAAAGCTAACGATAATCTCATGCTGTATATTTTTTGCATTTTCTGTATATTCTTGAGTTCAAATAATTAGTGCTGATTGATAACTCAAGAGTCATGTGCATAAAAATTCATTTTTTTAAGGGAACAAAAGCATAAATAAATATTATTAATAGTTACACCTTGCACAGCGAATATGCGCAATAAGTGGCAAAAGATAAATTCAAACCGACCCAGAAAATAACATTAGAAGAGTAGAGATGCCATTTTCTCATAAAAAGTTGAATAAACCAATTTAGCGAGAATTTGAAAAAATTATCTAATTAATCAATCAACCAACCAACCAATCAATCAATCAACGCAGGCATAAATTCACTGATTGTGAAAAATTTACCACGTCACGGCTGCTTTAATATTTGACGAATTGGAATTACTAATGACATTGAGACCAAATTCGTGTTGATCGTTGATAAAATTGTGGAATAAAACTCTCATGAGGATTATTGGACTCAAATTTTTCTCAAATATTAACGTTTGGAATCTTAAGACACGAGAGTGCACTTCAGTTAGTATGTGCTATTAAGAGACATTACCGTCTTTTTATGATCCAGTTAGACGAAAATGCCATGATCCGATAATATGGTTAAAATTTATAGAACCTTAGGACTTCGGCATTTTCTAGTATGTTTTTTTAGAGAATTTCTTCGATCAGGTTAGAAGCAAACATGTGGCCAATGAAAACATTCCAAAACACAGTCAGTGAACACCCAATGAGAAATCAATCCCGCGATTAAATGCTAACCAATAAGGCAAAAAAACGGCTTAACAAAAGCCGATATTGGGGAGATTTCTTTTTTTCTATGACGAAAATCAAATATTTTTATCATAGTCTTCTCCAATCAAAGATGTGGGTACAAAAAATTTTGTAATTGCAAATAACGCATAAGTGGGATTAACAATAGGCACTTCTGTTAACCCATTTAGAATAAGTGATACTTGTTTGAAAGAATTAGAAGCTCGTTGTTGTATTATTAGTCATGGTATAATGATGACCTCAAATATACTTAACTTCATGACACTTGGCATTAAAGTATTAACTGGAAAATGAAGGCATAAATATCATAGCTGGAAGATAATGCAGATGACTAAAAAATGGGAAGAATTGAAAAGAAGTCGACTCACAACCTGGCACGAAAGTTGGTATTCGACGGTCTTATGGTTACAGAACATTGAGAAAGATCCAGTTGACCGGAGAGGTCATCCTGAAGAGCTGAAGCACTCTCCTCCTCTACAGTGGTAGGCAGTCGATAGATTTCAGGACATTCCGAAGCTTTCTGCTCTCCCACAACAAACTATAGGAAAATATGAAATTGGGGCTGTAGAAAGTGTGCACAAAATGGGTATTTTCTGAAAAGACATCTTATAAATGAGGCAATATAATATAAAAGGAAATAGAAGACGTTCGAGATGAGCATATCTCCAGATCCAATCGATGGGCATTGTTCTCCCCACAATCCGCATCCACGTGGCCCATTTGGGCAAGTTGGGTTGTGAGTCTACTTAGTCTTTAGTATTAACATCGTATAAAAGTTATAACTTCATATTACATCTAGCTGGTGTGTATTGGTGTTTCTTTTCATGGCCAATAAAGCCTTTCGGATGAGAGATTTCAAAGAGGAAAATTACAACTTTTCAAATTTCCATTATATATCCTAGTAACATTACTTTTAGAGTTTCAGAAATTATGATAGACATGAAGTAAGTAATTGTATTATTCGAACTTTGCCTAATCAAAGTCCAATAAACGTTGGTTGGTGATATCACGTTAAAACACACTGCATTAAGGTGGTAGATCAAACAGCCCTTCAAATTAACATTCAAAAGCTTACATTGAATTGTGCTGCACGAAATGAGATTTATGCAAATCGGTGCAGAATTGGTGAATTGAATGGCTAACTGTACAGAGAGTAATTCTAGTCAACAAAATGATTTGTAGAAAACGGATTTTTAAGATGAGCTGATAACCCTCTCTCTCTCTCATCCCAAGTCAAAAGATGCTGAAAATTTTCATAAGGTGCTTGGGAATCAATTTGGAATTGAGAAAATACTTAAAGCACATCAGGAATTATCCCTACAGCCAGAAGATCAGACTTCTCAACGGCTTCTCCTACTTTCCAAGGAGCATTTCCGAAGCAATGGGTTTTACTTGTTGAGTTAATATGATCATCAAAAGGACTGGTAATTTTCAAACTGGAAAATTAATTAGTACCCTTGGAAGTGAATAACACCGCCATATTAGAGGAGACTAATTTAGTATACTAACGGAAATAAAAACCCCTACTCAAGTGATATTTGAACGTTACATTTCTGAAGCATTGCCTATACACCTCATCACCGTTGCAACACCAATGCACATACACAATAGGTTATATTTATTATCAATCAGCATTCGTGTAGGCTATAGCTGGGGGGCCTAAAATGATTGGATATCGTATGCACTGTTTTCACACACGGATGACAAGTGAAATGATCGCTAATGCTTCCTGATCTTGAAATAGTAGTGCATTAATATACTAATCACTTTCAAACCCCAGCTAAAAATTACACAGCATTGAATGAATTAAGAATGAAAAGTAATGGGGGGGGGGAAAACTTTGCATCTAGTAGGGAAAGGCAGATAGAGAAATTAGCTGATCTTGCAAAGTATTTAAATATGCCACTAAATAACGATTGTCGTGAACAATAGTCGTATTTAAGTGAGCAACCCACCTGGAGATTCTGTAGCTGAGGACATTCAACTTGGAGAGGGAAATTAGAGGATGGATCTGGTGACAGTAGAGAGGGAGGACAATTTTCCCTGATAAGATCAAAGTAATCCAAATCTTCTGTTGCCTCAATAGCCGTGGAGTCAAATCCGTCATCAGGTGGATACTATAAAGGAACAGTGTGAGTTAGTGCATAACTACTGCAATACAACGATAGGAGAAGTGAGATTGAACATCCACTGCTCGTATCTTCAAGCAGAAAGATGAACACATCAATTAGTTACGCGTTTCAACCCATTAAGATACAAATACTTTAAAAGGCAATACTCATGAATTTCGGGCATTTTAAAGTGAAGAGTTAAGTAGGCATGTGAGAGTCAATTACAAATAATTGGCTTCCACAATTCGAGTTTAGAAATACACATTCCATTCCATTAAGTACTACTCTCCTCAGTCAACAATTATTTATTTATAACAAATGGTAGGCTTTATGAAGGTTATAATTAGCCCTTTACTTGACTTCGGACTTCACAGAAGGGAGGAGGAACATCAAAGTGAGATAAATTCGAGAGGGGGACAGAATAATGATTCACAGACGTAACCGAGAGGGGGACAGAATAATGATTCACAGACGTAAAAGAGCAAGATGGGGGACAGAATAATGATTCACAGACGTAAAAGAGAAGGGGAGGGGGGACAGAATAATGATTCACAGACGTAAAAGAGACAGAGCAGACACAAAGGTAGAAAAAAGGTGAGTTGAATACTGTGGAAGGGTTGGGATCAGAAGAGCGATTCACAGACGTAAAAGAGACAGACAAACACAAAGGCAGAGAAAAGGTAAGATGAGTATTGTGGTAGTAGTCGAATATGACATACAGTGGGGTAGAGGTAGTTTGAAGTCAGAAGTCAACTGCCGGTTCATAGACCTTCTACCGTATAAGCATACATTGCTCAGGGTGCACAACATGGAGGTAAGTCTATCGAGCAGCTCCTTCTCAGTCAATAAAATCAGCGCCATTCCTAGTGCTCTTTATTAGGGGCTGATTAGCCTTTACATTCATTGGGTGTGAGTTTCTTAAATCTGACTTTTCTTCCTAAATGCCATGTGTATTGGCAGCATGGTAGAAATCAAGGGATTATTAGGCGTGAGAATCCACTAGGAGGTACACAAAGCAAATACGCATTAGTTCAACTCAACCGCACATACCAAATACCGGCAGAGTGAAGGAATATGGAATAGAGAAAGAAATGTTTTGTGATATGCAATTCCAAATTGAAAATTGAAATAAAATGTCATGGAGTTATCGTGAGATCTCGACCCTTCAAGAATGCCTTCCACTACAATTTGTGATGTTGTACAATAATTATTTTGAAATTTGATTTAACAAAAAAAAACAGCCTCATCAACTTTTAAAAGGCATGCACAAGTTAATCTCAAATTGGTATCCTCCTTTATAATCATTCCTAAACTACAAAAAAAACTATGTAAAACCTGTGTTAATACGTTGGGAAAACACATAAATGCATTTGATTTCCAGACAACCTAATTTAACTGAGGTGAGCGATTTTTTTATTCCCGCTATATCACAGGCCATTTATTTCGTGCAGTGATGATCTGGGGGCAATGATTTGCCTCCTTTTGACCAAGAAAACTCGCAACACTTTGACTTAGTGCAAATGTGTTAAAAGGAAAAGCTACTGAAGGTTGAATGACAAATTTGCTTGTTATGCAGGCAAACTCTATTTAAAGAGCAAAGTTATTGGAATATCCGCAACATATCATCGGGAGAAAAACAAGCGATAAGCTTTAAGTGAGAAGGTGTTCTGGCAAGTTCAAATTAATAACATGAAGCACCCGAGTGCAAATTTGATAGTGTGTGAGCGGTAAAGTGAAACAATGCAGAATGCACGGAGTTGAGACCTGATGGCACCCAAACGTTGATTGGTGGGATCAATTACACTGCCTAAAACCGATCATCTTTCCAACATAGACATTTCTTCCATGGAATTTGAGGTAAAAGGGGAGTAATGGACTTTATATTTATTGCCGACCCATCCGAAGGGCCCTTCTTTATATTTTCTGACATGAGTCGCTACATAATGAGTCCGAAAACAGTCGAAATTGTAAAGTAATCCAAGTGACCCCGGTTCATGCAGACCACACACTAATCGAATCAAATAGAAAAAAAAGTTGACTCCTACACAATACACCGTCATGCATTTCGCACGAAGCGTGTCCTTTCGCATGTATAGTTCGCAAATGCATCCTGTTACACAACTTAAAATGGCGTTATTCTAGTGACTAGTACCACTAATGCGATATGAATCACCCAAAGCTTTTGCAAACAATTTAATTTACGAAATCGCTGAAGGAGAATAGAGAAACAAACGATAATAGAATGAAAAAAGTTGACTTAAAATTATCCGGAACTAGTGACAACCCACTTTAACTAGTGGGGATGGCGATTCCATTTTTTGGTTGACGTAGAGCAATGAGTACCAAATTTGAAAATTCTAAATTTATAAGCAAACTTTAAAAATTATGTCACATAGTCAAATTAACTAGGAGCAACGAGGCTTTTAACGCATAATGTCTGAAAAATTCTATCTCTTTCAGATGAATTGAACGTCCAACAATACATGGAATCAACTTGTCGACTGAATCAGCCACATTAATAAAGATTAATCATAGGTTAGGAATCCGCTGTCGGTGACTTCACAATACTTACTTGCCTAGAACATCTACTGATGACTTTGGATCGCTTGGAGATGCACTTGCTCATATGAACTTATCGGTACTTTATCAAACATGCATGAGAACAGGATAATGGCCAAAAGTTCGGGTGACTAAATCCGAAAATAAATCACGCTAACGAAAACGCTAATTAACGTTTAAACCAAAGGGGGTCAAATTGAAACTATCACTATATCGATGAGAAACTTCTGCTAGTTGAAATCAGATGAAAGCGCCAATCCATCAGACAATTGGTGAGTCCATCACTGATAAAGTAAAATCAAACTGATAATTGATGCAAGTATCGATTTCATAACCCAAAGGGGTCATTCGCAATAAAGCTCAGATCGAAAATAACGGCAGCGGTGGGATCCATTTATAATTAACAAACATTTATATCAAGGATGGAAAATAGCGCTGAATAAAAGACTAATTGCTATTACAATTAAAATGTCAGTCGATTAACAAAACACATTACTCTGCCTTACACAGTTCTCAATATGCGAATTAATAGACTGACCGTAGAAGAATTAAACTCGTTCGACAACTGCTTCGGCGAACGAATTCCAAGGAGGGAAGGAGGAGAAAAATCATCCAACGACCATCGGCAATCCAAGGCTTCAGTTGCCTCAAGAGCTGTCCAATCAACAGGCGACCTTGACCGCCGATGAGGAGATGGATCTGGCCATGAAAGAGTGAGACTACGAGGTCTTTGATTATGAGCTTTCGTTGTATATTCCTCGTGAAGAAGAACTCTAAAATGAAGTCACCGATTTCTATAATGATAAGATTGAACACCAAAATATGGCCATTTAAGATGCATACATTTTGGTTTGGAGTTGTTCAAAAGCTGTACGAAGTCTCTGATTATCCCGTGATAACCTTGTCACCTCGTTTTTATAGTTGACCAGGTGATTATTCGTGTCCCTGATGACATCCTCAAGATATTTCTAAATTTCAAGAATATAAACAGATAATCCGATGCAAGATAACGCTTCTCAAGTGGCTATGAGAAGATGTTACCTTTTGTTCAAAGCAGGTATCTGCCTTTAAAGCAAAGTCCTGGCATGTTGTACACATTCCATTACTCAGAGGGGTGGAATTGAAGTTCTTCAAGCTTATAAATACAAATATAGAGGGCATTATAAATGCAAACTGAAGCCTACCTGTGTTGAAAGCGAAGCAAATAGGCGATGTCAATTTGTTCAATATAGGGAAAATTAAGGCCTGGATTTCTCATATCGAAACTATGAAAGGAAAGCATGAAATCCAAATCACTTTATTGATTGATTTATAAGTATGCCTTTAAATATTTACCAAAAATCTGAATACTGTAAATCTATAGAGGCAGAAACAACTCGGTGTATTTTTTGACTTAGGAGAACGCTTGTTGGTTTATACAAATGTCTATAAATTAGAGAGAACAGATGCATTAAGATGACTAGTAAAAGTTACTTAATAACATCAGTGGAATTTAACGAAGCATCGAGGTATAAATGTAATCGTTTGGATTGCAGCGCCAGGCGAAGAAAGGCACGAAGCTATAAGAATAAATGACTTATTAAGCCCTTTCAACCCACCTTAGGAAGACCGTTATGTAGGTTGTCAAGTGAATTTACAAGAGGAACGCAACTATGTGGCATCTTCTCACAAATGTGAGAAACCCACGCCCAAACTTTACCATCCTTTCGCCATTTGAAAGGCTCTACGAATATCATAATTATTACTCACTACCTTTGAGGGAGTTGAAGAAAAGATTTTCGAAACATGTTAGTAATCCTTGAACACCAGTTGAGCTTTCATCTAAAACCCCTGAGTTGTTTTGTTCGATAACCAAATTCACATAAGAACTAAAGAAATTAATAAATGCCTGAACTTGCCACGTGACTTGGATGAGGTTTTCATTAATAATTGAATTTCCTTTATCATTCTCTATTTTCTTCATAAAGTATGGGTTATCGTAGGGTTAATGTACGAAAGCATTAAGACAATAATCTCAATCTATCCAATGATTTAATTGGTCCTAACGAATGACATTGGGTTATTTGCCTTCATACATTTTTTGTCAACAGTCCATATTAACAAGAAAATACCTGTATTAAATTATACTAGCATCTCTTTTTAACAATACATAAAACACTATTTTTGTGCAATTTGTTACAGTTTTTCCCGAAACATCTTTATGACAACTTAAAATATTCTGAATTATGTTATGGCGAACGTGAGGCTTCCCTTGTCGGATTTATTTTTTCGATGCGAAACTCTCTTCATTATTTTTATCCTGTTCCCCATTTCTGGATGTTCGCCTGTAAGCTCTAGTTGTCTTTTTTAATTAATTGGTGAAAACATTTCATTTTGTGAATAAATACATTTGACTTTTGTAAAACTAATTATTGACGTCTCATAGAAATCTTGCAATAATTTGGAATATACGCTCTAGGGGGGGGGGGGGGGGGTGGTGTTAATTCCAAGTGCAAATGATAAAACAGGGAGTATTTAAGGATCGTAATTCGAACAACATAGATCCACCACTAAGAACCCTTAATTTTTTAATTCGTTTGTTCAGAATATAACGACTTCGTTAAGGGAGTGATGTCCTGTTTCCGAGCTTCATTACACACAAGAAAACTAGTCGATAATTGTGAAAAAGATAACGTGTGAGTGAGAGTGTCCAAGTTTGCTTAAAATTTTGATGTGATGTTTAAATTTTGAATGATATCGAGTTACCACACCTACGTAGATTTACGATTTACGTATGTGTATACATCATGGCGTATCACACACACTATCAGTAATTCAGTTGAAAATTATGTTTGTGGAATTCTCGAGGGTTACGAAATATAATAAATAAGTCAGTATTTTTGCAATATTGAAGCAAAGATTTGGTCATATAAAAGTTATTTATCAACTCAGCAGCGGTGTTCGAACTCTACGGTTATCATCGTCTAGTCAAAATGGTTTATTAGTAAGTATTAGTGGTAGTATATATAAATATCTTCTTTTTAGATGACAATCATAGCACCGAAGATTGACTGAAAATTGAATGAAAATCTGAGTACAAATACTCATAAATAGGTACAACTGAACAGCTAATAAGTACTCTAACAGGAATTTTGTTAACAGACAGGCATTTCTGATCACAAGGTGTTAATCAAGTCCAAGCAAAATCAACTGCAGCCTTTTGGAAATTACAAAATTACTGATACAACACCAGAGTGCTCCAGCACAAATTGTTGTCTCATCGATTGCTAGGCTATTTTCTTAATAGTGAGAACAAAGAGTAAAGAACTTTTATTTCAGTAATGGGAAATTAAAGATATCAAATTTGATGAAGCAGTTTCTTGCTCCTCGATTGACTGCTTGACCGCACTTTCCAGAGTATTCTAATGTTTACGCGATTCCTTTGATCAGTCCCAAAATCATACTAGATTACACAACGTCATTATTAGACAAAATAATTTTCGAACTTGCTTGTAACAGAGTCTTATGTCTTTTTACGGGGTGAAACTATTACCATTGAAGCAATGATTGTATTTTGCATAATGGAAGTGCGCTTACAATTCCCTGAAAACGTTTTCACATGTAAATATGTAAAAATTAACAATACTTGTAAACCAACTTAGTTGCAGCCAATCTATCCAGACATTATGCAAGCTTTGGTAAAATTTGTTCGGTAATTGGCTTTAAAATCCTAAAAGTTAAGAAAAGCTTATAGGTATAGGAGAAAATTTCCATCGTATATTTAAATTAAGGATTTCAATGGGTAAATTTATCTAATTTCTTCAGATATTCAGATCATTATTATAATAACTGAAACTGAAATTATGTAAAGTACATCTATAGAATCACGAAGGGACAATGAAATTCATTCATGAAAATAGAAAACATAAATTTTTACAATGGTATATTTAGTATATTTCTTTATTGACTACCCATTTAATGGGGATGTGAAGTTTTTATGATTTCATTGCAATAGAATCCTTATTTCCTAAAAACTGAGCTATAGAAATGCTTCCTAATACGTTAATATAACTTTTGTAGTTAAAATTATAAATGCATATAAAGTTCTATTGGCCATAACTACATATTTATTCGCACTGGTCTAGATCGCAATGTTTTGGATGTACACGTTGCGATGTCTCTTTTCACTCCTCTTAATCAGAAGCGACTTACGAACATTTCCGTTGTTCGTATGAGAAGAAATGGACACCGATATGAATTAGCATGTTTTCCTAATAAGGTTAAAGCCTGGCGTGATAAATTGCAAGTTCTTTTACTATTAGTTTTTATTTTCATAGGGAACCTAATATCGATGAAGTTGTTCAAACGCACGAAGTTTTTGCAAATGTTTCCAAGGGCCAGTTAGCGAAAAAATCGGAATTATTTCAAGATTTCGAAACTGAAGATGTAGAGGAAATTATTCTGAAACTTCTGCAGGAAGGCGAAATCCCGGTTTCCGAAATGGAACGCAAGTCAATATCTGAGAGTTTGTCTCGCGATATAGCAAAGATCATTTCAGAAAAATGCGTCAACACCGAAACCAATCGACCGTATACCGTTACCATGATCGAAAAAATGATGAAAGAATGTCACATCAACCTACAGCCCAACAAGAGCGCTAAACATCAGGTTGGCACACCTTTTCATAATTGTTCACGTAACTGTTCATTTATTGTTTATTCTTTCTGCCAAATTACTGTGTATGAACCTATATTAGAGTTACAAACTCAGACTTTAGGTGTATATATTTGACCAGTTTGAGCTTTTGCGGATGCTTTCATTGTTCTCTTGAGACAGATTAGCCCGCGTTTTAGAAGCGATTGACGTCTACGAAACTTTTGGATTTTAAATCAGTTCATTTTCAGTTCTGTGATCGTTTCTTTTTTCTAGGCACTCAAAGCCATAGAGAAACTAATGGAATCAGGGAAATATAAGATAAAACCGGCGATGATGGAAATTGTGATATCCCTTGATCCAAAAATTGTCGAGGAAGTTTCACCCAAAATACTCCTCCACGTACATCACATAACTCGACAGGGTCTAAACTCAGAAGGAATATTTGAAATGGTAAGCTCTTTTATATTGGTATTTTTTTGTGTTTCGCTCGTTCATTTCGTTTACCATTCTTATGTCTTTTCGTAATGAAAGTCCATATTCGTTCCCTTGTACTTACAGGGCTATATTGGTAACTGATTCATACCCACCTGATAGGTTTCTTTTCTTTCTGATCACTTGACTGAAATGCGCTTGACCTTCTAATCGAAAGCCTTGGTCTGCTAAGGTTCACATCATGACCGTTTCGATTTCTCAGTTCGCAATGTTTGTACCTTTATTTACAAGACTCGCTGATGATCGTTAGTGTCTACTCGAACTAAATAATCATACGATTGGAAAGACTAGAGAAGAATAGCGGACGATTATATTTGTTACTTAGACAATTTGCTGTTGACTTAATTAACTCTTGATTGATGGTGTGGCGGTTAATGCTCTTACAAGTGAACTCAGAGGTAGAGAGTTCGATGCAAAATTATTTATAACGAATTATCATACTTAGAATACTTTAAATTTTTTATAGATTCAACGGTTAAGCCAGTCACGTACCAGTTGGTGTAAGCAAACTTGTCAGAATTTACTCCTGCCAATGGTTCGAAGCCATATTATCTCATGGGTCATGTTGATATTCAGTGGAGTGTTTGGCTAATTACAAAAGGTGTATCAAAATGCAAGTTTCTCATCAACGCGATCTGTTGTTATCTTTATTGCCTAAATACCTGGTCTAAGTGAATATGTGTTCAATAACGAAGTAGAATTTCCGTAGTTTTGATCACATATGTTTGCGGTCATGCGAATATGCACGTCGATTAGGTCTGTCTTGTCTTCTTCATACTATATTGCAATTTATAACCTAACCGCCTAGAAGTCAGTTTCGTTGAAGCTGCAAAGATAACTTTTGACCACCTCGTTTGATTAAATTGCACTATTTTTTATTTTCTGGTTCACTACGCTTTCTACTTACTCTTCCTCTTTGCTAATAGGTTGAAAAGATCTAGAGTCTTCTATCCGACTAAGTGTTTGAGCTATTAACTCCCAACCTTATTGTTCCTTTTGTCGAGGTTTCATGTAATGCATTTTTTGTCGTTTGATTTTGAGCTAGCTAAGCTAATATGCCAAAAGTAGACTGAATATCTCCTCAATGGACTATTAATTTTCTTAAAAGGCTTACACGATTCAGCAGTCTTTCCCATGTGACCAAGACCAAGTAAAACGTGTAAGGGAGTTGAAAAGGGGGGAGAGAGTAGGACCGAGAGGTGGAAAGTTAATGCAAATAGGTGTCGGCACTGAGGAAGTGTAATAGAAAGGCCACAGCGAAGTACTCAAGGAATAGTTGGGTTTTTGCTGTGCTTCTTCAGTTGAGGAAAGATTGAAAAGTAATTATCTGAAAATCAAAACTGCAGATCTATGAGACAAGTGTGTGTTCCTTCAGCCCTTATGTTCACGTTATTTCGCGTTTTTTATTAAACTAATTACAGCTTTCTAATATACAGAAAGTATATTGTCACTTGTTACATTGTAGAAAGCAGTGATTGAGCAAAAGGACTATCATTTTTTGACTGGAACTCTGAGTGAAGTGGCCAAAAATCGCTACTGTGTGGAGATATTGGGTGCAGCTCGACCAGAGCAGACTTCAGGTGGAAAGAGGAAGCCCCCTCCATCTTCCCACTCTTCCTCCGTTGCCCCGATTCCTGAGCTTACCTCTTCAATCCCTGAAGAAGAATCCTCTGAGGTCGTCTCTCTACCTCCGTCTTCAAAGGAAGAGCCTGAAAAGGCACCAACTCGTGGTGGTGGTGGTGGTGGTGTCGACAGCGAAGATGATGAATATGCTCAGGCGGCAAAACCAATCGAGAAGCAGCAAAAGAAGGCTAATAGAAAGCGCAAAAATCGGACATACGTTAATGACGAGGAGGATGTGGGTGCCTAACTCCTTCCTTTGTACTTATTTTCCGCCCCTCTCCCCATCTTGTATTAAAATGATTTGCCAAAGCGTTTTATTTTGTAGATTTAATTAAGAAAAGTCAGTTTTGCCCCAAATTGGTTTTTTACTTCTTATTGTAGCTCCGTGGTTTAGAGCTTTAGCATTGCAAAGATGCAATGCATAGTGTGCGGAACGCCACCAAGGCTGAATTAATAGTTGTGGGTTTTGTCACGGAAAATTGTTAGGGCTTATTTGTTAAAAATTCGGATGCAGATATGTGACACTCTAAGTTAGCTGGTTTCGCGCAAAGGTATCCCCTGTTTGATGGAAAACTTATTAAGAGTTATGTATATGTCATGTCTGGTCGTCGACATCTCTGCCTGGGTGATTGGCGTCTGGGGGTGGCTATCTATGGGGTAACACGCATATCCCTGGATGCTCCTGTTAAAAGCGCGTCATTTTCGATGACCCCTGCTGTACATAATACTGTGATGCAAACCTTTGACGAAATTGCTTCATGACTTGAAGCATTTATGTGCTTTTTAAGGCATAAGTGTGCTAAGTGAAAGTTCGAATTTCAGCCTGATAATCTGTAACGGCTTTATAGTTGCCAAACGTTAATCTAAAGGTCTTTATCATCTAAATCTCTTGTCTCAGCCCGAGTGCGTCAGTAGTGTAGGGGTATCATGTGTGTCTCCCACGCACGCGACCCGGGTTCGAATCCCGGCTGGCGCACACGTGCTTTGGGCGCTTGTCTTCTAACTTCAAACTACCTTGTCTCCCATGCATGTCATATTCCAGCACTTTCACAGTGCTCACCTTACCTTTTCTTTTTCACATCTGTTTCCCCCACCTCTCGATCTCTTCTCACTTTGATGTTTCTCCCCTCTGTGAAGCCCGAAGTCGGCTAAAGGGCTAATGATAACTATAATGAGGCCTGCCATTTGAAATGAATGAATGTTCCCATTAACGCTGCATCCCGTCATCCATTAAACTGACATTATAAATGTGCGAAAATTTGTACGTATTCGTACATTTAGTAAGGCGGACTTATTATTTTCAAGTGCAGTTAGCAACATTCTTCTAGTTAAGCTACCGCTTGCGCATGCCAATTGTTAAACTGTGAAGAAAGCAATTTGAGTCTCTTGGTGAACCAAAACCAAATCTCAGAGATTTTAGTCTTTGTGAGATGGATAATTGGTTATTTGATACCTACTCTCACAAATGGATACGGAAGTTCACAAATGACAGAATTACCGCTGCGATTTGAGGCCCACCCGTCAGCCCATCATTTACCACGTGCCCAGTCCTGTTCATATACAAACGTACAGGTTTCACAGTTGGAGTCACTATACCTCACCGGGCAAACCATACGAAGGTATACAGGGTTTTAGATATGTGTATGGCTTGGATAAAATTCAATGCTTTAATAAGTTCGTCTGCTCTCTGGGTCCATTGAGGATTTTTGTACGTTGTTTCAATACTTTCGCACTTGCTACATGCCATACGAGAAAAATCCAACATTTTAGTAGCTCTCGCAAATTTAATAATAATAATAATAATAATTTAAAAATTGGATGGCTCACTTGCTATTAAATCCGATCCAAGATTGTTGATAATGTCAATTAGATCTTGATAAAAAAAGTTGGATCATTGCTTATCTCCAAATTTCCCCAAGACATTTCTTTTAATTTTGAGGAAAGGGGATTTAAATTAAATTGGTACAATTCGGATATCAAAACGTTTCTAATCACTTAAACACCCATTTTTGTTGTTGTTGGAATATTTGTTTAAATCTGAGTGTTTATTCCTGAAATAATAAATATTCCAGTTTTAGGAATCATCACTTTGGGAGTAGTATATTCCTTGCATATTAATTTTTTAGCAAATTAAAATAACGTTTTACATTAATTAAACAATTCGATAATGATTATTCAATATTAATATTGACAAAACACACGGAACAATACTGGGTCCGCTTTGTGTTAATGGGGTGTAATTTAAGCATCATTTCAATTAGAGTATTAAGTTTAATTTTGAACCGTTAAGGTAAATGGAATTGCTCTTTCAAATCAACTGGTAAATTCGATGTGAGAAGGTACAGTGGATAAATGCTTGAAGACTCAAGGTGATCAATAGGATTGTTTTTTAGTGAATTTGTTGTTTCTTGTTGATTTTTTTCAGACGAAGCCGTATTATATGTACTCAAATTACTCAAGCTTATTATAACCACTTTTATTAATGATAATATGTGTGCATGTGATTTGGGTTTATCACAACTTCAACCATTGACAAATCAGCAATAGTCAATAAATTTAGAATAAACCTAAAGTTGCAATGAACTGACTATAAGGAAATGCTTAAATTCTGTGAACGTGTGGACTTTACAAAAATCTGGTGAGGGAAGGTTTGAAAATAGAGGAACAGGTAAACGGGTTCCAATTCACTCTTCTCCGATTTAATTCGAGAAATGATGAGTTAACGTCCATTTTTAACCTTCTCTCCACGTGCAATAATCCACGTTCTTAGTATATGCTAAGAGATTTTTATTTATATCAAATGGCAGGCGTTTTGATGGTTATCGTTAGCCCTTTAGTTGACTTCAGGCTTCACAGAGGGGAAGGAACATCAAAGTGAAAGAAAGTCGAGAGGGGGTGGGGAGGGAGGAGAAGAGTGTTTCAAAAACGAAGGTAGAAAGGTAGACAAGAGGTGAGGCGAGTACTGTGGAAGTAGTCGAATATGACAGACAGAGGGATCATGGCAGTTTGAAGTCAGAAGCCAACTGCCGGTTTATAGATGGGTGATGGCAGTTTGAAGTGAGAAGTCAACTGCCAGTTAATAGACTTTTATGCCGTATGAGTAAACGTTGCCCAGGGTGCACCACGTAGATATGCGTTGCCCAGGGTGCACCACTTGGAGGTAAGTCTATCGCACATCCCACTAAGAGATAACTGATAGGGTAATTAATGATATTCGAAAAATAAACTTTGAAATTGTTTGCAAATGGAATCCCTTAATTCATTATTTTAATTCCTGTGCTATGCATTGGGGTACATTGTACTCAGCTTTATCCTTATGATACTCCTAAATAATATTCCTATTTAGGCCGCTTTCCTAAACAGCTTTAGAATGCATGCCCTCTATTGGCCAGTGAAGAATTACGCTCTACCTATTACATTTAAGTACCAAGTTAATAATAAATGTATTTCAGAACATTCATATTAAAAACTAAAAGGCCTATCAGAGTAGACTTTTTTGCATGACTATAGGTATAAAGTTTGAATTCCAATATCATAATGGCCCCCATAACACCTTCGAGTACAATGTCTTGACCTTCGAAAATTTATTTAAATGAATCTTATAACCGAGGCATAGATGGTAAGTGTCTCCATTTTAACTTCTATCATTTCAGCTAAAGCTAAACACAAACTATTAATGCATAGTGTCGGATGGATTCTCCCTAATTGAAAGAATGACTTGCTACTTGTCACATTGGAGGAAGCCTCTCTAACTGAAGGGTCGTTTCTAATTTTGGCAGTTTTACCACTTGCAGCTTATCTGACTTCCCTCTCCCCCTTCTGTCAAGACAATGACAAACGAGACAGTTGAAGTACAGCTTCAGCTTGCTTTAACCAAACAGTTATATTCAATCAAGGGGTGTAGGATAGACTTAACCTGGGCAACGAATAATCATATGGCAAAAAAGTCTATTAGCCGCCAGTTGATTTCTCACCTCAAACAACCATCACCCCCACTGTATGTCATATTCGACCCCTAACACAGTACTCATCTTATCCTTTCTGAGCCTATGTGTCTGTCTGTCTCTTTTACATCTGTGAATCACTATTCTATTCCCCCTCCTGAATTCTTCTCCATTTGATGTTCCTCCTCCCCTCTGTGAAGCTTTAAGTCAACTAAAGGTCTAATAATAACTATCAAAACGCCTGCCATTTGTTATAAATAAATATTCAAACAACTTTCCGACCTCAATATCTACCTTGTAGCTAATTTAGAGGCACTGGAATTGGATTTATGAATAGAAATAAGAATCATTTTCAGTTGAACGGGATTAACCGTTTTTCTTGTGTCAAAGACTATTATCAGAACCGATGCCCATCGACTGTATGTTTTCTCTAACACATCCCAGTAAACCAGTACTTAAGTGACTCACATAGCCGACAGACACTGAATTTCCCGCTTCCAACTCTTTAATCGTAAAATCTTTCACCCCATCTCCATCACATTACCTGTTTGAACTGCCCATATACCGATTTTTCACCTATAACTACACAAACGTAATCTTCGGACTTATTTGACTCCGATATCCAGGTTTCCACCATACATTTACACTTCTCTGACTCGCATGCTAAAGCACTTCAATCAACCTCTCTTTACCGGCCTTTTGCCTTGCCAACTCTTCTCTACAGTCCACATCAAAAACCCTTTATTACCCTTCTTCTTCCCTCTTCCGTACTGAGAAAGCACTAATCGTATCCCACTGGATAGCCTGGGGTCTTTAAGCGAATTAGGTGTACACAACAGACTTCTGACCTGAATACTCAGACTAGTTCAGAGCTCGAGACCAAAGTTATGCTCAATTTCGGGTCCAAAGCACTCAAATAGAGGCGAAAAGAGAATAGATGCATCACTATTTACTGTTTACGAGACCTAATACTTGGGTGTCATTAAGTAGTGGACAGAAATCACACAAAGGTAGTAAAATTGACACATTTTCTCTTAAATAGACTGGGAATTTAATCACCAAAAGTAGAATAAGACAAAACCCATCGTTCCCTCTTCAACTGTCCCTCTTCTCCTTCTCGCAGCAAGGAGATCAAGAAAGCGGGGCGACCAAACAAGGAAACATTAGGCGCATCAAGCGAGAAGGGAGGGAGGGAGGGAGATAGGGAGAGGGTGTGTAGTGAGAGGAAAAGTACTTGTCAGAGAGAATCAGATGATATTCACACAACATTAAAACGAGCATAGGGGAGGGGAGGGGGGAGCCG